AACACTGTGTCTCCCCATTTATTAAGTCCTTTTTACTTTGTTTAATCTTGTTTTGTAGTTTTTGGCATGCAATTTCAAAACATGTTTGTCTGGGTTTTTGTTTCAGATTTTTATCTGTTTCCATTTTTGGGGCTATGTGAAGTGGTTATTTTTTAATTCATTTCCAATTGCTTATTGCCAATACAGAGAAATACGGTTGATTTTTGTGGGTTCCAATTGCTTATTGCCAGTACAGAGAAATACAGTTGATTTTTGTGGGTTAAGCTTGTATGCTGTAACCATGCTAAACTCAATTATTAGTTCTCAGAGCTTTTTCTTGCCATCTGTTGATAAGATTACTTGTCATCTGTGAATAAGGACAGCTTATTTCTTCCTTTCTAATCCTTATGAGTTTTATTTATTTTTCTTGTCTTATTGCAATGGGAAGAATTCAGTACAGTGTTATTAGGAGCAGTTAGCATGAACATCCATGACTTGCTCCCAGTATTGGGGAGAAAGCCTACCATTTTTCATCATGAAATATGCTGCCAGCTGTATGCTTTTTGGAAATGCCCTTGTTCAGTTTAGGAAAGTTCCCTTCTATTTACAGTTTGTTGAAAGGTCTGATCATGAATGGATGTTAAATTTTGTCAAATCTTTTTTTCTGCATAAATAGATATGACCCTGTGGTTTTTCTTCTTTGGTCTGTGAAAATGGTGAACTCTATTCATTGATTTTTCAAATATTGAAACAACTCTGCATTCCTAAAATAAACCACCCATGGTTGTGGTATATTGTCCTTTTACTATATTGTTGGATTTAATTTTATAATGTTTTATTGAGAATTTTTGTGTTTATTTTCATAAGGGCTGTTGGTCTGTAGTGTTGTTGTTTTTTCTTTATGTTGTCTTACCTGATTTTAGTATCAGATTAATGATGGTCTCATAAAATGAGTTTGAGATGTTCACTTCACTTCTGTTTTCTGAATGATCTTGTGAATACTTGGTGTTATTGCCTTTTAAATGTCTGTTAAAATTTACCACTGAAATCATCTGGGCCTGGCCTTTTTTTTTGGCAGGTTTTAAACTGCAAGTTTAATTTTAAAAACAGATATAGGAATATCTAAGTTATCTACTTCTTCGGTGAGTTTTTGTGATAGTTTGTGACTTTCAAAGAAATGGTTCATTTCATCTAAGTTATAGAATTTATGTGCATAGGGTTTTTGTAGTAGTCCCTTATTATTCTTTTTTAAAAATTATTCTTTTAATATATATGAAGCTCTGTAGTGATAGCTCCCATTTCATTCCTGATATTGGTTCCTTGACTCCTGATTGGCAACTAACCTCTTTTTTTCTTGTTCACTCTAGCTAAAAGTTTATCAGTTTTACTAGTCTTTTAAAATAACCAGTTTTGAGTTTCATTGATTATCCTCTATGATAGTTTTAACTGATTTATTCTTATCTTTATCATTTCTACTCTTCTACTTGCTTTGGATTTAATTTTCTATTATTTCTCTAATGTCTTAAAATGAACGCTTAGATTGTTTATTTGAGACATTTCTTCTTTTTTTAGTATAATAATGTAATGCTATAAATAAGCACTGTTTGGCTTCATCTCACACATTTTGATATGTCGCATTTCCATTTTTGATGAGTTTAAAATATTTTCTAATTGTTCTTGAGATGTCCTCTTTGATTTATGAATTTTTTGGAACTATGTTACCTAATTTTCACGTGTTTGGAGATTTTCTAGTTATTTTCTATTTTTTTAATTTTGGCTTAATTCCATTATGGTTAGAGAACACCTTTGTGTGATTTCAGATCTCTTGAGCTTTGTAAAGTTTGTTTTATAACCAAAGACATAGTCCATCTTGGTGAATATTCTATAGTCACTTGAAATAAATGTGTATTCTGCTGATATTAGATGGAGTATTCTATAAACATGAAATAAACCCTGTTGATTGACTGTGTTGTTCAATTCTTCTATATATTTGCTGATTTTCTTCCTATTAATTCTTTCAATTATTGATAGAATAGGGCTGAAATCTCCAACTATAGTCAGAGATTTGTCCATTCCTCCCTTCAGTTCTATCAATTTCTGTGTCATGTATTTTAAAACTTTGCTGTTAGATGTGTACATATTTATGATTGTTATGTCTTCTTGGTGAATTGACTCTTTTACCACTATGTAATATTCTTTTCTCTCTATCCCTGATATTTTCTTTGTTCTGCAGTCTATTTTGCCTGATATTAGTATAGCAACTCCAGATTTGTTATTTTTTTTTTAAATAAATCTATATCACAGTAGTTAAGGCTGGTGGATCCTTGGAAACAAAATATTGTCTAATCTAATTTGTTTATACTTTCCAACAATCTCTATTTTTTAACTAATGTTTTTAGACCATTTTCATTTAATGTAATTATTGATGTGTTTGGATTCAGGTTTTCAATTTTATTATCTGTTTTCTTTTTGTTCTTCTGTTTCCCCTTTCCTGCTTTCCTTATTATTTTCATAGACTTCCAAATTACATTTAAATTTATCTATTAAGTTGTTTTTTTAACCATATCTTTGCCTAGGTCTTTTTGTATTATAATACAGTAAGTCCTCTACATATCAACTAGTTCCATTCCACGAGTACGTTCATAAGTCCAATTTGTCTGCAAGGCCAATAAAGATAGCCATATGGTACTGTACTGTAATAGGTTTATAATACTTTTCACAAAAATAATACAAAAAAAACACAAAAAATTTTTTTTTAACTTTTAATCTTACAGTACAGTACTTTGAAAAGTATGCCAGCCACATAAACTAACTTACATGATTGGGCATGCATACACATATTTGTGTCTTTGAGAGTTCACAACTTGAAGGTTCATATGTAGAGGATTTGCTGTATATGTGCTTTTCACATTCTAATTATAATTAATATTTCAAGTAGAATGAGGAAATGTCACCTCCATACAGATACCTTTGCACTCCCACTCTATGTTGTAGTTGTCATATATTTTACATCTACATGCATTGAAAACCTATCAATGTCATAATCATTACCTTCAGTCATCATTCATATATTCAAGAACTAAAGAGGAGGATAGACCAATATATTTACCTAGCTATTTACCATTTCTGTCCCTCTTCTATATTTTTCTCTGATATCATGTCTCTTGCATCTCAGCATTTCTCTTGGAGTAAGTGTGTTGGTAACAAATTCTGTTGCCTTTACTTTATCTAAAAATGTCTTCATTTTACTTTCTTGAATGATGTTTTTACTGGACACAGTATTTTGTGCTGCAGTTTATTTATTTTGGCACTTTAAAAATGTTGTTCTACATCCTTTTAACCTGGTTTCTGATGAGAAATCTGTAGCGATTCTGTACGTAATACATCACTTTTCACTGGCTACTTTCAACATTTTTTTCTGTCTTTAATAGTTTGATTATAATGCATCTGGTCTTGGATTTCTTTATGTTCTGTTTGAGAGTCACTGAGTTTCTTGAATCTGTAAGTTTACATCTTCTACAAAATTTCAAAAGTTTTGTTAAGCTTTCTCAAAGTTTTCCTACACTATACTATTTCGCCTTTCCTTTTGAGATTTCAGTGACATGGATGTTAGACTTCTAGATATTGTCAAATCCCTGAGGTCCTGTCCATTCTTTCTGCTCTTCAAATTGGATAATGTCTATTCATCTATCTTCAAGTTCTCTGACCCTTTCCTTTGTTATTTCCATTCTACTGTTGAGCATATCCATATGATCTTTTAAACTATATATTCATTCTAAAATGTCCTTTTTTTTTTCTGGGTCTTCCTTTTCTCTGATACTTTATAGCATTTTATTTATTTTAAAACTGTTTTCCCTCACTTTTTAGAGCATGGTCATTATGACTGTTTTAAAGGCTTCGTCTGATCATTTTGTGTCATCATGGGTCTGGCATCTGTTGATTATCTTTTCCTTCCAAATTGAGATCTTCCCGGGTCTTCCCCTGCTGAGTTATTTTTGAACTGTAGCCTTTGCAATGCAATATAGATCTTCCCTGCAGGTGCACCACCCAGTGGCCAGTCTAGGACCTGGGCATCAGTGTACTCTCAACATTTAGTGCTCAAAGAGTGTGGTATGATGTTTAGGATAAAATCTATGCATGCACAGCTCAGAAGCGACCACAGGAGTTTATCTACAACTTTATGGAATCACTCTCTTGAGCTTCCTCCTCTTCATAAGCCATTTCCTGCTCCTCTGGCCCAAAAGCTGAAGCTTTAATTTTCTTATTCTTCCGTGTATTTACCATAACTATGTCTAAATCTGGGTCCAATCCGCAGGAAGCAGAGAGAGAGGGGGGAAAAAGAGTATTTGCCTCCAAACTCTTGGGATTATAGCTTCTCTGGTAGGAGAAAAGAGTTATCCTCACCCCAAAGTCTTAGACACCTGCCTGGCCACCAACATCACTGCTACCAACCGAATGACGTGGGTACTGAATTGGGAAATGACAGAATAATGGGGGAGGGGGCGGTGGATAATAAAAGAGTTCATTCACTCTTTCTGGATCTTAGGGATTCCCTTTCTCACTCCTTAGGCGGGAAGGAAAGGGCTTCTCTTGAGTGCTCTTGTGTACTTCTGGGTTTGGGGATACATTTGAATCTAGTCTCGGTGATGCCAAAGGGGGAAAAAAGTGGTAAATTCACTACCAATTAGACAATGCTTTAAATTCTGGTCTTCTTCCTTGTCTGCTTTCTATCATTTACCATGCAGAGTCCTCAAAAAGCTGCCCGTGCATGATCCTCAGAGTTTATAGTTGGCATTCTGTGGGAGAGACAGAGTTGAGTGTGCTTACCCTATCTTGCCTGGGTCTGGAAGCTATCCCTTTGAGTTCTTGTGGTTTGGGGTTAAAAAAAAAAATCACCAAGACTGATTTGCATATATACACAAGAAAGTTATAAACCAGTTGCGGTTTGTTGTTCAATCATCTGTCATGAGACTCTTTCTGACAGCATCTGGCTGAGAGTATCACCTCCTTTTCCTTTGCAGGGACACAGCTGACGGTTGAGGTCCACCCTCGAGATGCCATGCCCCAGCTGCTTAAGAAGTTCTCTTTGGCTAAACGTAAGTATGTACAGGGCTGCTCGTGGTGAAGGGCTGGGAGGGAAGGCTTGAAGGCATCCAGGTTGGCAAGATCCTAGCCCAGGCATCTTCTGAGGGACAGAGAGAAGAGTAACATGGGCCTACAATCTGGGAAAACACAGAGGCCTGATAACTCCATCCCGGGAGATTTGCTTCTCCACATCCAACAGCCATTTTTGCATTTCTGAAATTAAGCATGAGTAACACAAGGCATTTGGCTAAAGATGCATTTTATCACAGGAGTGCTGACATTGTTGTCCTTAAGATATCATTCAAGACTGCCTAAAAAGTGGCAGGCACAGTGCTAAGTGTTTCACATTCATTAACTTTTTGATTCACATGTTAGATCAGCAAAGTGAGGTTCAGAGAAGTCAAGTCAGTGCCCAAGTCACCCAGCTAGAAAATGGGTCACAACCCAGGTCCGACCGAAGCCTGTGGTCTTAACTGCAGTCCCTGTCTGCCCTAAGGGCAGTGTGCGCAGGCCCCGGCCAAGATGTCTCCTCCACCCTCTTCTTGGCTCTCTCTCTGTATCTCTCTATTTCATGACTAAACAAGGGCTTCCAAAGGAACACAGATCAGCGAGCAGAGGCCGCAGAACAGCTGAGGCTCGCGTGCTCTCCGTGTCTGTTCAGTGGGCGGGAGCCCTCCGAGGCTGTCTGGTCCTGCAGTCCTCATTAGTCAGGATCTCAAGAGGACAGCCTCGTGTGGACGGCAGGGACACAGCAAACGCTAGCACCGTGTCAGACCCCCGTCATTTTATCAAAAGTAGCGACGGAAGCAAAAGTTAGGTGTGACGCACAAAATGTAGACTGCGAGAAATAAAAGGACCACTGCTCCTCAGAAGAGTCTGTGTGTGTTGACAACCTGTTAGACTTTCAGCCTAAAGTGGCCTTCAGGAGCACAAAACCACCTGCCTTGGCATCCCCAGCCTCAGCTCCCCTGGTTCCATCCAGGACTCACATCTTCCTGACCTGGTTTAAAATCAGCAGGAAATGTTGCTGCTGCTGTTGTCATTTTCCATTTGCCAGGGAGTGCGGTGACAACTGGCTACCATTCTGCCTTAACGGTCTTGGGATTATAGGATTCGGTTGCCCTGTATCCGCCCCGGGGATTATTTATTTATTTATTCATTTTAGTTTTTATTATAAAGATGTGGGGTACATTTCAGGTATGAAAACATTGATCATGCAGGTACCCTTGTTGATGAGGTATGCCCCTCCCTCCTCTAGTAGTTTCCCTCGACTGCCAGTCCCACCCCGTCCCCGACAGTTTCTCACTACTTCCTTCTTATAGCATTGTAATTGTTCAAGGTCAGCTTATGAGTGAGAACATATGGAACTCAGTTCTATGTTTCTGTGATAAATCACCGAGGACGATCGACTCCAAAGCCATCCAAGTTGTTGCGAAGTCCATATATTTGTCCTTCTTTATGGCTGCATGATATTCCATTGTGTCTGTGTACCACGCTTTTTTAATCTAGTCCAGCTTCGATGGGCAACACGGTTGGTTCCATGTTTTTGCTATTGTGAAGAGAGCTGCAGCAAACATGTGTGTGCAGGGATCTCGATCGTTTAATAATTACCTGACCTTTCGGGGTTTTTAAACTCCGTAGAAACCACCTTCCCCTCGCCCATGCTTGTTTTCCTCCGTGGTCCCAGTTCCTGCCCCGGGGCTCTCTGGCATTTAGTCCTTAATGCCGTGTTCGTTTTCATCCATGGTCTGTTCCTGTCCTGGCGTTCTCTGGCAGCGAACCCTTAGTGCTTGTGGCACCCTCAGCTGAGTTCCGAGATAGCAGGAGGACTCAGAGGCGGGCAGGAGCACCAGGGCCCTGGAAGGCCCAGTGAGTCCTCCCAAGTGTTGAGGTCGAGGCAAAGTCTGATGCTACTTGCAGACGGCAGCTCCCTGTACCATCATCTACGCCCACGTTCCCCATCTTCCCTCTGCCACACCAGAAAGTTCCTGGCAAGGCCAGCAGCCATTTAGTGGGGGTGAGGGAGAGGCAAGGAGCCTGTGAAAAGAGAATGAAGGGGGGCTCAGAAAGCAAGGACCACCCCCCAGAGGATCGTCAGTGCTTGCCTTTCTGTTTCTTCTCAAGTGTCTCTACTTCTGATCTTTGGGATATCGTAGGTTTACAAGGCGATAAAAATGGAAACACAAGACCCCGGCAGCCTGGAGGGAAAGACGCCCATGGTAAGTTCCAGAGCCTTCTCCAGGGCTGTTCTTGAGAGAGCAAATCGGTTTAGCCTCGCGAGCTCATCCATGGGCAGTGGCTTCCTGGGACACTGTGTTGGGAATCTGAGCCACCGCCATGTTCAGGGCAGAGTGTCGTGGTTGATTAGCAATGTCTGCCAGAGACGCAAGTGGAGAAAGGAAAATCCCATACGCCCGATGTCATCCCAGAGCTAATGCACAAACCCCACCAATAACAAGGCAGCCCATTATGGAAAACATATTACAGAGGGAACTCAGAATTATGTTAACTTTACAAGGAAAGCCAAATGTCTGTAAGGGAGGAGGCATGCAAATGAGCAGACCAGGCAGAGGAAGAACCGCCGAGCAGGACGAATCCTGCTTTTGTCCCTCATTTGCCTTCCCTGTGCCTCAGTTTCTCCCTCAGAAGACCAGATGGCATCGAAGGCTCAGTGCAGCTCAGGTCTTCTTCCCATTGTTTTGCTTTAAAATTAGAATCAGGTCATGAATGACAGCGGTATTTTAAATGTATTTATGTAAAATCATATTGGGATCTTACATAATCTGCTCAGAGGTAGATTTAATGAGGCATAAATCATGATGGGTATTTTTAATGCTCATATATTGAAAAATGGAACCAAGAAAAGGGAAAACAAGTAATAGAGTTTTCATCCCGTTTTAGAAATGCCATTCCTCCCCTAAATGGGAGCAGAGAGACCTCATTTGCAGAAATGTTCTGAGTAGAAACCTGTTAAATGTGTGAGTCCACTTCGCATCCTCTCAGGTCACCCTGATGGCTCAGGAGCCCGATTCTGGGGAGGGAGGGAGCACTGAGACGTGGGAGACTCAGCAGGAGCCCGCCAGGGTGGTGGTGCTTGGACCACCCAGGAGGGTGTTCGTGCTGATCTGAATCATGGCGGCCAGGCAAGAAATCCCGGCTCTGGCACCAGAGGGGTAAGTGGGAGCCAGGGCGGTGCTGGGCCTCAAGGAAACTCTACTGTAAGATCGTATAGCCCAAAAGGATTTGGAAGGCATCCAGGAAGTGTCCTGGTTCTTGCAGAATGAGCAGAAGAATGAGGAAAGACAATACAAGTTGCTAGGCAAGGCCACAGCATCATGTTAGTGTTTGCACAACCTGTCCGCCCACCCCACCCCGGCCCTGCTCCGGAGAGAAACAGCCCGCACGTCCTAGAGGTGTCAGGGCAAGTGTCAAGGTGAGAGCCCAGTCAGCGGCTTCAGGTCAAAGGGACCGAAGCCCCAGGGTCTGCAGCGTGAAGAGTTAACCTTGGGGACCGGGCCACACCCAGTCTTAGGCAGAGAATGCAGCAGGCCTGGTTTCTAACAAGAAGGGGCCTTGGAGCAGTGGGGACATGCAGAAGGAATCATGTAGCCTGACCCTAACGGCTGAACTTGACTAGAGGCCTGGGGTTCCCCTGGGCCCAGGCACTGGCCAGCTCCGTGACAAGTGGGCATTGCCTCCCAACTTGTGCTGTACCCTGGGCTCAGTGCACTTCCCAGGCACTCATTCCTGGGGAAATTACAAGCAATCTGTGGAAAGCAAAATGGTGGGGAGAAGACGCCATTATCAGTAAATCTGGAGACGGCTGGCTTCATTGAAGGGAAGCCAGTTTCTTCACTGCTGACTCCCAGGGCCTGCAAATAGGCTTCTGTTCCCTGTAGATCCATAAGAGGACTGTGGGAGTTGCCATAGTTCCCAAACGGATTCGATCAAGGGACCCTTCTGGGAGGTACAGCTCTTGGGCCCAGCGTTTCGGTCTTTGAGAATTGTGTTAAAGGTTGGCCAGTCACAGCTTCTCACAGAAGCGCAAGACCTGGGCCAGGCAGCCCTCCTCAATGGATCTCCACTGCTGACCAAGCCTTTCTGTGTTTCCAGCCTATCCCTGGGATCGGTCCAGCCTGAAATCCATGCCCCTGGACTTGCGGCAGTTTGAGAAACTGGACACCTACGCCTCACAGGTAGGATAGCCGGCCCCTCTGGCCGTGAGGCCTCCAGCATGGTTTGGCATTCCCCAGCCAGGGTGGCAAAGCCTCTCTCCGGGCCCTCCTGAATGGATCCTGAGCTGGGAGTGGCCAGAGCAAGCCCAGCCCGGGTGGGACCAGGAGATAGGGTCTGGAGGGCAGAAGCCATGGCGCTGAAATGTAGGGTTAAGTCAGGACTCCAGGCTGCGGTGCAGGCCTGCAAAGATGGCACCATTCTGGGCCCTGGGAGTGGACGAGGGCAAAGACCATGGAATTGGAGCTGGACGCAGAATAAGGCAGAAGGTAGCTGGGAGAGTGGGAGAACAAGGGGCCCAGAGGTCTCCTGAGGCCAGAGCACCAGCATGAGGGGTGGCAGTCAGCGAGTAGGTCCGAGAGTTTCCATGCAAGCACTGGGATGGTTCCAGACAAAAGCAAAATTTGGAGTACCTGCATGGTGAGGACTGAGCAGAGAGAAGGCACCACGAACAGTGCCAGCTCTTTTATGGAGATGGAACACAGTCAGGGCTGCCTGGTCAGCCCTGTTACTTCCTGAGAGCCCCTGGAAGAAAAGCTAAGGTGCTCTTTATAAAATTATTGACATAAAATCCAAAATGCAAAACTTGTCATTTCGATTTTTTTTTTTTTTTTTTGAGTTGGAGTCTCACTCCATCGCCCAGGCTGGAGTGCAGTGGCATGCTCACCATCACCCCAGGGTGTACCTGCTGGGCTCCGGCAATCCTTCCACCTCAGCCTTCCAAGTAGCCAGAACTCAGGTGTGGGCTACCATGCCCGGCTAATTTTTTATTTATTGTAGAGAAGAGGTCTCACCAAGTTGCCCAGGCTGGTCTCAAACCCACAGGCTCAGACAGTCCACTCGCCTCGGCCTGCCCAAGTGCTGGGATTACAGGCTGAGCCACCAAGCCTGGCCTCGATCATTCTTAAGTGTTCGTTTCCCTGGCATTAATTACTTCACGATGCTGTACACTTATCACCCCGAACAGAAACTTTCCCCGTTAAGCAATAGCTTCCCATTTCCCCTCCTTCCGCCCCTGGCAACCTTGATTTACTGATTATGAATTTGCCTATTCTAGATATTCACAAAAGCGGCATCACACAATATTTGTCCTCTTGTGTCTGGTGTCTTTCGCTTATGTCATGTTTTCAAGGTTTATCCATGTCGTGGCATGTCTAGAAACTCAATGCCTTCTTTTCACAGTTGAATGCTATTTTGTTGTCACACACCACACTTTGTTTTTCCGTTCACTCACGGGTGGACGCTTCTGCTATTTCCACCTTTTGGCTATTGTGAACAGTCCTGCAATGAACATTGGGGGAACAAGTATCTGAGTCCCTGCCTTCTGTTTTTGGGGGCATGTGTACCTGGGAGTTCATATGGTAATTCTGCATTTAACTTTTGGAGAACCTGTCAACATCTTGTCCACAGCAGCTACACCATTTTACATTCTCACCTGCAACATACAAGAGGGTTCCAATTTCTCCATGTTCTTGCTGACACATGTTATTTTCTGGTTTTATTTTTTAATAGCTGTCCTAGTCGGTGTGAAGTGGTATCTCATTGTGGTTTGGATTTGTACTTCTCTCATGACCAATGATACTGAGAATTTTTTTCATGTGCTTATTGGCCCTTTGTGTATCTTCTTTGGAGAAATGTCCGTTCAAGTCCTTTGTCCATTGTTGAACTGGGCTGTTTTGTTTTTGTTGTTGAGTTGTAGGAGTTCCTTAGATAGAGTGCATATTATCCCTTATCAGATATGTGATTTGCAATGTTTTCTTCCATTCTGTAAATTATCTTTTTACTTTCTATTAAGAAATATCCATCCTTAATCCAGAAATGTTTTTCATTTTAATGAACTCCAATGTATCTACCTTTTCTTTGGTTGCTTGTGCCTTTGATGTCATAGCTAAGAATTCATTGCCAAATCCAAGGTCATAAACACCAGTGCTTACTTCTAAGAGTTGTATGACTTAAGCTATCATATTTGAGTCATGGATTCATTTTTAGTTGACTTTTGCATATGGTGTGAGGTAGAGACCTAATTTTACTATTTTGCGTGTGGAAACCCAGTTGTCCCAGCACCATTTGTTAAAGAGACAATTCTTTCCCCCATGGAATGAACTTGGCTCCCTTGTCAAAAGTCAGTTGGCCATAAATGGAAGAGTTTATTTCTGGACTCTCAATTCTATTCTGTTGGCCTGTATGATCTCCATGTCAGTATCCAACGGTTTTGATTACTGTAGCTTTCTGGTAAGTTTTAAAATTAGGAAGTGTGAGTCCTTCAGCTACGTTCTTTTTTCAAGATTGTTTTGGCTACCTGGAGCCCCTGGTGAATCCATAGGAATTTGAGGACTGGTTTTTCTATTTCAGCAACAACAACAACAAAAAACCTCTTAGCATCTTGATAAGAATTACATAATTGCATCTGTAGGGTGTTTCTGGTGGTATTCACCATGACTAGGGACTGTTATAGCTGACCAGACGCCTACCTGGCTGGCCCTAGGATTTACAGAGAACAGCGGTGACAGCTCTAAGGCTGTGATGGAGCCGCCCAGTACCTCCTGCCCTGTCCCACTTCCCACCTCGTCCCATCTGCCCTCAGCCAGCCTCGGTCCCTCTGGCCTCTCCACCAGCTTCTTTGCCTGGAGGTACAGCAGCCCCAGCTGCAGAGGCAGGTGTGGGCCCCCCACAGCCCTTCTCCAGGTCCTGACACCCGTCTTGCTCCTCAGGTGACGGCCAAGAGTGGCCTGGACGAGCTGGTGAGCGACCTGCTCCAGGAGGCCCACAGCGACCTGGAGAGAGTCCGCGCCATCTGGATGTGGATCTGCCATCACATAGGTAGGCCCACCTGTGGGGCAGCTGGCCCTGGAACCCCCTTGCTGACAGCTCCTGCAGGTTCCCCCTCCCATTGGCCATCAGGGTGTGCAGCGTGAGATGAAAAAATGGGGAGAGGGCCCAGAAGGCAGGGTGGAGGAACCAGAGACTGACCAAGAAAGCTAGAATGCCATGTGCCGTTAATCTCTATGAAAGTCCATCGGGAGGACGGCCCTGTGGCTCCCTGCCACGGCCATTGGCCAGAGCTGTAGTTTCCACCCAGCACCAGCCTGTTCTATGTCCGGGTTTGCAGAAAGCTAGGATGAGCCCCCCACTGAGACGAGAACCCAGAATGAAGGTCAACTTCACGAAGGATGGCCATTGCCTGGGGAGGAGTCGCAGCTGTCTGAAAACTTACTGCAACCCCAGAGCTTTCACTGAGTACCTGCACCAGGAAGGACGGGCTCTCCTCTTCCTGATCCTACATGATGGCCTTGGCCATGGTCTCAGCCCAGTGTCCAGGCTTCTCAGAGCCACCTCAGGGGACCTGGGCCTGCCCACAGCCCTCCACAGAACAGCTTTGGGAAGCTCCCAGGTCAAACTGAGCCACAGAGGTAGTCGCCAAGGGAGGTCACCCCCAGCCATGTCACAAACACCAATGAGAAGGTGGACAGCCAGGCCGTGGGGTGGGCTTCTAGTCCTTTGACACAGAGACTGGCCAGGTCTTTCCTGACCTTCTGCCACTGCGCTTCTGCCACTGCGCTTGGAGCAGCCGTGAGGGCTGCGACTTAGAGGAAGAACTCCCCGATCCAGGAAGGAGAGCTGAGCAGAGGACTCCCTTTGGGTCCTCAGTGGCTGTAGTGCCTTCAGCCTCGGGGTCACACCGCAGGCCTCAAGCTTTCTTCCCAATCCCCACATCCTCTCATTAGTGAAGTGGCAGCCTGGGGGAGAAAAGCCTTCTCTGCTTGTGCGTGAGCTCGGTGCACGCTGGAAGTAAGGCCTTGGCCTTGAGGCTGCAGCAGGGCCAGATGAGCAAAGAGCAGAGACAGCCCCACGCCCCGGAATGGCTGGGTCCTTTCCCCTCCCTGCACCCTTCCAGAACCCGCCCGTTCTGCCCAGGCCTGCCCTTCCCCTCACCCCCTGCACAAAGAGGTCACAGTTCCCAGCCCCCGCTTGGGCTGGGCCCTGGTTCTGTTCAGCCCACTGTGATTCCCCCCACCCCGGGTCTGCGGATGGCCGGCGCACAGCGGGCGGGGTGGAGCCTCTCACCTCTGCGCCAGCCTCACCGCCTCCCAGACTCTGGTTCTTCACGCGCCCGCCCCCCCCGGCCCTCCAGAGTACGACATCGCAGCTGCTCAGGAGAAGGACCGCCAGGCCTTCCAACCCACCGACATCCTGCGGACCCAGAAGACCAACTGTGACGGTTACGCCGGCCTCTTCGAGAGGATGTGCAGGTATGAGAGGCGGAAGTCCCTGGGCAGACCGCCGGGCCCATCCTTCTCTCCCGGGCACAGTGCTGGGTGTGCCTTTGCCCACATGCCAGCCCTGAAACCTGAGTTTGCAAACTCTGCTCTGGAATCCAAGTGAGTCCTGAAAAGGTCAACTTCTCCCTTTTTAACACCAGCGTAATTGACTTTGTACCATCTGCCGAGCTTCGCGATGCATTAACATAATGGCAGATGAGTGCGCCGAGATAATTTGGTTATAAAAAGCCCTTTTTTCCGCCTTCTCCCATCTCTGTGCAGCTGAAGGTTAAAAGAATGGCAGGCCTGGGAATGGGAGGACGGTGGCTGTGGATGCCAAGGGGACTGTGAAAGGCTGTCCTCGGGGCTGGCCCGGGGGCCTTTCTTAAGGGAAACGAAAGACCTCCCACCTGAAGAGAGGTGTCATGTGGACACTGAGCAAAGGGAGCAGATGCCCTCAGAGCCTCTGGGCTCCGTTTTCAGCACTCTGGGAGTGAGCGCAGGGCCAGTTTGCTGGGGTGGGTGGTAGTTCGGGCCTGAGCAAGAGACAGGCCACTGCTGTCCCCAGCGCCTCGAAACAGGCCCAGGGCTGGAGGATGCTCCCTGACCAGCACAGCGTCCTGGGCCTGCTCTCTGAGGCCTGCTGGATTGCCCCAGGAAACAGACGACTAGCCCCGGGGCCACCAAAGAGCCTGCGGGAGTGTGCTGCTGCCTGCTGTCTCTGCAGGCCTCTGCAGGGGGTCTTCTCCAGCACCAGATGTCGGCCCACCAGGACTGCAGGTGGCGGTTCATCAAACCGAGTGTAAAAAGCACTTAGCCCCCAGGCAGCTGTTGGGGTGGCCTCGGTGTTGCAGGCGACCTATTCTTGGCCGAACCCCTGCCTGTGCCGCCACCCCATCACCACTGCAAAGTACGGGCAGGCACCTGGCAGTAAGCGCCGAGTCCCCTACTCTGTGCCCTGCTCTCCCCTTCCTTTGCTTCAGGGTCCACTCCTGAGACCACAGCCCCAGAGGCAGCCGGGCTCCATCAGGGTGCAGAAGAAATGACCCTGGCCACTGCTCAGAACGGTCCTCTTCACCTCTCACGTTCCCAGGGCCACCCCACCCCAGCCTGGGGCCTTTTCTAGGAGCCTGGGTCCTCGCCACCGGCCTCCCAGCCCAGGCTCCCCTGGCTCTGGCCCCCTGAGCACCCCTAAGGCCTCACACAGCCCCTCAAAGTCCTCCAAAGTCTGACCTCAGCCACCTCTCCAGCCCTGTGCCCTGAGACTCTGCCCCCGCCTCCCTCTCTGCCTGCCTGACTACTGCTCCTCCCCAGTGCTCCTTCAGCCGGCTCCTCCAGGATAGGCCAGGCCTCCCTTCCTTTGGCCTCCTCAGCCCACCTGTACACCGACTCCTGTGTTGCCTGAGGCTTTTGTTTAATAATGTCATCTAATTTTTAAAATACTGTTCCTTGTAGACGGTTTCTAAACTGCACTAAAGCGAAAACTCTGACTTCTCCTGCCGAGGGCTAACACGCTCCTTTCCAGATGCCGTTCTGTGCATCCGGGCATCGCCTCGCCCACCTCTTCTTATATGTCTTCGAGGGTCTTACACTTCTCGATTTGCCTCTGATCCCCCTCTCTTTCCGCCTCCCTTCTGAACACCCATCTCCAAATCCCACACCCAGTAGGGCCCCAGGAGACACGTCGAGAATAGCAGGGAATGACAGGGCGTGCTTAGCAGACGTGTGTGACCGGGCCCCATGCTCCTTTGAATCATGAGATGACCGCCCCTCTGTTTCCAGCTCCCCCTGTGCCTAGCATCTTCCGGAACATGATTGTTTTCATCTGGCTTTTCCGATCTGAAAGCACTCGGCTTTCTTTCCGAGTGACAGGGTGTATCCTTCTTTATCCAGCACGAGCTGTGCAGCACACGGCACAGGCGCGTCAGAGCAAAGCCAGGAAGACTTAGATTTGCCACTTACGAGTGACGTGCCCTCCTCTGTATTGTGTAAGCATCCTTGCGTGCTGCCAGGAGTACGTTAAAGCCAGAAAGACGCAGGCTCGAGTCGTGAACTTACCACCTATTGGCGTTGTTCCTCTTGGTAAGGCACCTGATTTCTTCTTGGTCCATCAGTGTTCCCACCTGTGCACTGGGTACCATGTTGCCTGCTTAGCAGGACTGTAAGACTCAAGGAGAATGTGCCGTTTTGGGATTTGCCAATCTGGTTTGGGGAAGGCTGTTTTTTAACCTTTCCCATCTTTCTTGAGAACTGGAGTGCTTTTGCTCTGTGGAACTTTCCTACAGACTCTGCCAGCCCACCTAGACTTGGAAAATTGACACTTGCCTTGAGTGAAACTGTCAGCTTTTTGGCCGGGTCTAGATACTTAACAATGGCCATATTCTGGCCTGCAGCTGATCATTAAAATGTGTCAACGTTTTGCATCATTTCAAGTTAGTTTCAGCCTGGCGATGACCATGTGCAAAATGTCTCACGCTGCCTAGGTGGTGAAACAACAGCGCACAGTTCCCAGGATTCCTTTAACTTGCTTTAAAGATCACCAACCTGTCCACGCATCACGTTCCTAATTCCCTTTACCTTTAAAATAAGGGCTCCAAGTTTGGTAAATTCATCAGCAAATTCCTTAATAACTGAAGACATGTAATCTGTACTTGCTGATTTATTCCGTCTTGGGTGTCAGGGTGGCCCCTTAGCAAGAATTGTACCCACATAGCCATCATAGCTTCCTGCCAGTCCATTCTGCCTCCCTACAATGGCCTTATTAAAGACTGATTTAATAAAGCAATTTGGTGGGGGAATTCAGGTGTTTCTGCAACATCATTTGTTTCCTTCTTGTCTTTCCCAAGTTACCAATGTGGGGCTTTTTGTTGTTGTTGTTTTGAGTGCCATCGCATGTAACTGCTCGGCCAGTTTCTTCCTGACTCTATCATCAAGCATTAATGTTTCTTTTTTTGCCTCAATAGCCCAACATTCTTAATTGACTCTGCCTAATTCCCTCGCAGGAGCCAAGCTTAATTCCCCAGACTCCTGCCACTGAGTCACATCCAGTGAATTATCTTCCCCTGTTATCATGGCCCGGGCACCACCAGCCAGCAGATCTTCCAGAAGGCTTGGATAAAGCTGAGAGTTTTTACCAGATTGGGGCGCTGATGCCGAGGGGGCTGGTTGTCATCACTGGACATCAGTTGGTTTGCCACCCCGGCTCCAGCGGTCCATCCTTGCGCTTGGAGCAAAGGCAAGGGTATGCAGTCACATGGGTACTTGCATGATGTCTCTAATGGCCGTAAAGTGACCTATTCTCAGCTCCAAGGGCCCCAGAGCGTGGGGCGGGGCCGTCTAAGCCTTCTGGGAGATTCAAGTTCATTGGACAACCTAAAAGGATCACCAGATCTGACTTGGTTGTATAAGGCCTCTGAAAGGGACATCTAAACTCCCAACCCCTGTGGATACACGGAAGGACGAGGCCCACGAAGATGAGTTACATCCCTACGGTGAGCCGCCTTTTCCTTTCACTCAGTATGCCACCCATCTGTTTGTAGATGAAAACAAAATCTCTACTTACAAAGGGTAGTTCGGTGTGAGAGCTCGGGAACTGTGCATCAGGTCAGTGGCATCCCGGTGCCGCTCAAGCCACTGTGTGTGCCCATGCCAGGCTGTCTCTCTCTCTGGATGGCTGACTCCTCACCTGCTGGAGAGGATGCCTCTGAGGTCATGTTTCATGCTTGAGGCTCTACATGGGGCTGGAGTGAAAACTATCATTGCTATCATAAGTTATTGACCTAGCCATGAGGGCAGTACAAGGAGCGGGAAAAGGGTGTACGTCGCAGAAGTGTAAAAACACTGCCAAATGATGAGAAATCAAGTATATCGGTTGTGAAAGATAAGTCATGGTTGGTTTATCCTGCTGCCATATAGGAGTCACAATCCTTTCAATAAAACACAGAAAGAAAAGCACGTTTCCCTGTCTCTCCCACAGCTCTGGCCCCTCCCGTTTTTCTTTTTCTCCCCACTTGGCTCAGACATCCTTGGAGAGGTGATAAGAGTTGGGAAAGTCCAGCTGGGCCCGGTGGCTCACACCTATAATCCCAGCACTTTGGGAGGCCAAGATGAGAGGATTGCCTGAGCCCATGGGTTTGAAACCAACCTAAGCAAGTTGGTGAGATCTCATCTCTACAATAACTCAAAAAATTAGCCAGGCATGGTGGCAGGTGCCTGTAGTTCCAGGCACTTGGAAGACTGAGACAGAAGAATCACTGAACCCAGCAGGTTGAAGCTGCAGTGGCCGTGAGCGTGCCACTGCACTCCAGCCGGAGTGACAGAGTGCGACTCCAACTCAAAAAAAAAAAAAGTTGGGAAAGTCCACCGTGGTCAGAGCCCACTGGTGCACCACACACTTCAGCCACACGGCCACCAGGGCCTGGCCATGGTGCTGGCTGTCGCAGCATCTCCGGGACATCTCAGTATAAAATGATGATGGTGGTCCTGACCACCTACTCCGTTAATACCTGTGGATACACCAAAATGGAACACACAGATCTTTTAAAACAGGATGATACATTCATAGCAACGTCAGCAGCTTCAGGGAACACCAGAGATAACCCAGGTGATGACATTGCCTTCTGCCTGGCTACAACTCTGTTTGGTCTCTCCCCATCAGGCCATGTTTGGTGGCCATGTGGTCCTTTGCAGCGTTCAGGGCCCCGTGCCCTCAGGGCTTCTCTGGTTGGTCCTGAGCCCTGACACTTGCTGGGGAGGGGCCTGCAGCTTTCTCTAGACCCTCCAGGGTGCTCCAGGGATGCTTGCTCAGGGTGTCTTGAATCCATGTGGCTTGGGACACGCATCAGCCATGAGCCGTGGAGGTGGCATTGGGATTGTCAGTGATAACTGTAGCATAAAAGCCAAGAGTCTGTAGCCTGAAACTGATAAATGGGCCTCCTTGCGTGATAGCTGGGCTCTAGAATGACTGGCCAGAGCTCTTCAGGAGGTGGAAACATTTCTGGGCCCTGTCCCCTTCTGTGACACTATCCCAGCTCCTGCAGCAAAGTGAATTTCTCTCCTTTGGCTCCTCCAGGCTTTGCTTCTACTCTGGCAATTTAGTGATCGTTCATACATCCACCCTCCTATGAGTACTTCTAGGGTGACCACTGAGCCTTAACTTTGGAATATTCTATTTTATTATGTTGCATTGCATCATGCCATGTCATGTTATGTTATTCTCGGGTGCCTGCCACAGTGCTTTGTACACAGTATGCACAGTCAGTGATCTTTTGATGACATGAAGGAGTTGTGGGTCATTCTATTTTTTTCTGAGTTGGAGTCTCACTCTGTCGCCCAGACTGGAGTGCAGTGGCCACTCCTGGCCACCGCAGCCTCGACCTCCTGGGCTCCAGTGATCCTTCTGCCTCAGCCTTCCAAGTATCCGGAACTACAGGCGTGCACTACCACGCCCGGCTGATTTTTTTATTTATTGTAGAGATGAGGTCTCGCTGCCCAGGCGGGTCTCGAACCCGCGGGCTCAGGCAATCCACTCACCTCAGCCTCCAAAGGCGCGGGATTACAGGCTGAGCCACCGAGCCCGGCTTGTGGGTCATTCTAACTAGTGACAGTGGTTAGACACAAGACTCCTAGGAGTTCCATAATCACTGTCTTATCTACACAGACTATTTTGCATGGGAATTATGGACTATGAGCAACAACACCTTACAGGATAACTTCCTTTGTACAATTCACCGTGCACTTGGCTGCCGGGGGATGAAACATCCTCGTATCATAGTCAAGCATGGCATAAGCTCACAGCTGAGTTGATTTTTCATCTTTTTTCTGCCCCAGGCATTCCCATGGCCCTCCCAGCTTCTTCTTGGCCTGTCAGAGAAGAATCAACCCCTGGACATCATTGAATGCCCACTTTTCTTTCTGCCCCTCATGAGACTGGCAAGGTCACCCTGGAGGTGACCGTTGGTTGGACAGGGAGGTGACCTGATTCCCTGGTTCAGCTCAGTGGCCACCACCCTGAGTTAGGGTTAGGTTTAGGGTTAGGGACAGGACAGGTGGGCCTCCCTGCCATTGCCCTTCCTACTCTGCTCCCAGAATTGAGGGCAGGTCCTCATCACCCCCCATTGGTCCTTCAGATCCTGTTTCCATTTCACCTCCTCACAGGGAGGGTGTCCTTCAGGACACACTGCCTGGGACACGGGTCCTCCCAGGAGGACGGTCAGGCAGAGTCTGAACCGGACTCTACTACCCACATCAGTGCCCACCCCAGTTTACCCCACCCGGAGGCTGTGTGGATGCCCAATGCTTCCCCCTCCTTCCTTGGCTCCGAGTGGCTCTGGGCGGAGGGCAAGCCTGAGTGGGCAGTATGTCCACGGGGCCATGGTGCCACTCCATCAGCTCACCCAGATGCAGAGTGGGCCATTCTCCAAACCCCTTTGCTCCCGGGGCACCCCTTGGCCCTCGCCAAGTGATAAGCACAGACGTTCCAGCCAGGAATGGAAAGTAATCCACTGAAGAGTGTAATTTTAAGTAATGATGGCCTTTCCCCCCCCCATTCTAAAAGTAACACATAATCGTTATTAAAAATTTAGAAAACATAGAGAAGTTTAAAGAAGATTAAAACCACCCATAATCTCATGCTGAGAACAACCCCGCTCAGCCCTGGGTCCCCGCTCACACGGCCCACCAGCCTCTGCTCTGCGCTGCAGGGGCACCAGGGGGCACTTCAGGTGTGCAGGCTGCACCTTCTCACCCGCCTTGGACTCCAGGGCTCTCTCCTCCTCCTGCTCCAGAGTCGTCTGTGCCCTCTGCCAGCAGGAAATCCTGACACCAGGGCCTAATTTCTCTTGCCGTCTGCCACCCGCCCCCAAGTGCTCCCAAATGCTTTCTCCCACGAGGCCCGGCAGGCACATTCCGTGAGGTTCCCTAGAGAGCCAAGGAGGCCTGAACCTCCCTTCTTTTGTGGGAGCTGTGAAGCTTCCAAGCCTTATGGAACCTCAGGATGAGTGGCCTGTTCCCTGCAAATGAGGGAAGGTTAAGGCAGACGTGGTAACACATGACCGTCCCTTACGTGCGAAGTCACGCTGATGGCAGAGTCATCTGAATATGTTACCTCAGGACGCCACATTTGTCCAAAAGACTCTCTCAGTAAGTGGCATGTGAATATAGGTCAGCAAGATTGAATCCAGTATTCTGCCAGTTTTAAGTTATATGTTAAATTTTTTTTAATTTTTTATTTTAAAGATGTGGGGTACAATTCAGGGTTCGGTATACAAATGTTCATTATGCAGGTACCCTTGTGTGTTTTTTTTTGAGTTGGGGGGTCTCACTCCGTCACCCAGGTTGGAGTGCAGTGGCACGCTCATGGCCACCCCGGTGTCATCCTCTGGGCGCCGGCAATCCTTCTGCCTCAGCCTTTCAAGTAGCCGAAACAACAGGCACGTGCTACCATGCCCAGCTAATTCTTCTGATTTATTGTAGAGACGAAATCTCGCCCAGTTACCCGGACTGGTCTCAAACCCACAGGCTCAGGCAATCCACTCGCCTCAGCCTCCCAAAGTGCTGGGATGACATGATGAGCCTGGCCTGTGTGTTCACTTTTATAGGGAAAAAATCCCCCATTCCTAGAGTAAATGCATGGCCATCTCACCCCATCACCCTGGAGGCTCCACTGCCCTCTGTCGTCCTGGTCCGTGGAAGGACCCAGCCCCCATGGGCCGCCTCACCGAAACAGCCCCTGCCGACACCCTGGACTGCACACGCAGTTCCTCTGTGCAGACAGCAGGGTCAGCACCATGGGGAGGGCTGGGCAACACGTGTGGAGCTCAGAGGAGCCCCAGGAAGGGATTTCATGGATTTGTATGTCTAGTATAGCAAACTTCCACAAATGCAAAAGAGCATCTTGAGGAAGGGGCGCCTTTTTCTAAATCATACAAAGGCCTAGAAGGGCCAGCACAGGGTGTCCCTCGGTCAAACTCACCGTGGAATTGCCTGCACAGTTCACCCCTTGGCTGTCCTGTGGAGGGCAGGGCAACCGAGGAGGAAGGCCAGTGACCACGGCCGAACATTCAGGAGTCTCGCTTTGGCTCTGGGTTGGTGCCGACAACCAGGCCTGAACCTCAGGGTTTCCTCTCCAAACGCCAGGTTTTATGTGGTCCCCAGAGGTGACCAGCGTCCAGCCCCCCATCCAGGTTCCCAGAAAGCGGTGCCAGCGTGGCTGTGAGCAGTGGGGGAGTGCAAGGTCAAGAGGACCCTAAAGCTCAAGTCGACTGGTCAGCATTTCCACTCCCCACAGGACAGCCACAGAGACTCCAAAACCGTGGCTGGAGCAGGCAGTCAGCGGGTGACCCTAGCGCTCAGTGATGGCTCTTATCCCGTGTTTGCAGAGGACAGGCCTCTCAGTCAGACCCGAGTGATCCTGGCGGCGGGCCAATCCTCCTGGGTCAGGGCTGGAGACAGCAGCTTGCCGGCCCCGGGGTCCCCACGCAGACATCCTTGGAAGGACGCAGTGGGGGTGGGGCTCAGCTTCCTCCTGCACCCTCGAAGCCAGCAACCACCCAAGCACCCCACCCACGTCGTGAGTCCCAGCTCTCCAGTCACATGTCGAGGGGAGCCCTGGTTCTCCCAGCAGCGGTGCGACCCTTTACATGTGGGTTTTGCTCCAAGAGCCTCACCATTCTCTGGCCCCTGTGATCTTTTTTTTTTTGAGTTGGAGTCTCACTCTGTCACCGACTGGAGTGCAGTGGCACGCTCCCGGCCACTGCAGCCTCGACCTGCTGGGCTCCGGCGA